AGATACACAGGAGTAAAGTGAGCCAGTTTATTCTTTCTTGACTTGTCTGTTTAGTATTAGGAGTTTTTTGTTTGGTTAAATTTGGCTCCGTTAGCTTTAATGTTTGTTCGTTTTTATTATAAAAATATTCTCATCACCCAAAGAAAATTCATGCCAAGTAATGTGTAAATTCTAATAAAACATGAAGAGAAAATTTCTCACCCCTGACCCTCTCTTTTCTAACATATCCCACTCTGCTATACTTCATAACAGTCCCATGATATGGCAGTATATTTTTCTGGAATTTTTCAGTATAAAGTACAAGCTTTTAAAATGTGATTTCCCCCCCCACACACACACACCTTTGGAGGAGTCATTCAAAAATGGAATTTTACTCTTGGCTTTGAATTCTCAGGTTACCTACTTGCAGTCCAATTCTAAGTTTCAGTGATAATTTCTCAGTTGTGTCTGATTTATAATTTGATTGGATTCATTCATTTCCCACCTCTTTTACCTATCACTGTTGCTTTCAAGACTGTACTTCCTCTTTCTCTCTCTTTATCTTTTTCACTCTTTCCTTCTTTCTCTCCCTTGCTTTCTGTCTCTTTGTCTTTTTGCCTATATTTCTCTTCCTCCTCTCATCATTTCCTCTTAACAAATCTAACATGTACAATGCAGTTTGTTAAACATAGACATTATGTGGTACAGCACATCTCTAGAAACTTACTCATTTAGCACCACTCAAACTCTATACTGTTGAATAACTCACCATTTTTCTCTCATTCTACTCTTTATTTCTATGAAATGGAATAATGCTAACATTGTCCTTTGTTTTACACAATAAGTCGTTCTGTTGGAGTTTTAGTTTTTCAAAGCATCCTTAATTTTTTGTTGTTGTTGTTGCATACAATACTCTTAGTCAGGTTTTCCAAGGTGGTTCTCCTAGTAAATTGGTGATTAGTGAAGATATGTATGTTTCAAACCCAGGAGATCCTTTCTGTATTACTATACATAAGGGAAAGTGCCAATGTTATTTCTTTCAACTTTTCTCCAGGAAAAAGATGGTTATGATTATTAGAATCAAAACAGATCTGTTGTCTGTATGTAAGTCTGTGCTATGAGCTTAAAGTGAATGTCTAAGGTCAATGATAACCTCAACAAGTAGATCTTACAGTTTTACCTTTCACATCTATGATAAGTTACATGACATGATATGAAATGGCAAATGTCGTAGAACTGTAAGACAGAGAAGTTCTGTACTGATTTCACTGATGAAGAATTTGGTTAGTACAGTCTCTAATTTTGCTGATATTACCATGTGTTTTCTATATTGCTGATGATGTGTATGTTCTGTATTTCTTGATATGAGATCCACTTAGTGCTTTAAGTCAACTTCATTAAGTTAAGCATACATATGGCTGTCAAAATAATTGGGCACCTTTTCTATGTGCTCACTGCTTTTGCCATTCCACTATAGAAACTTTCTCCTCATAAGAGATAGAGCTCAAATTCGAACTTGTCTGCCTCCAAGACTTGTTCATCTTCCTTTTAACTGTGATGCTGCTTTTTCTAGAATACAGCAGAGGGAACATTGGGCTGGTGGTTAGATCAGATGTGTGATCCAAATAAGTAACTTAGCTATCTGAGTATGTTTCTCTTTTATAAACTGGGAAAGTGATAGTGATACATGGTTGGAATTATCCTCAGCATCAACACACTAGGCAGGAGCCAGGCATGGTGATACACACCTGTAGTCCTAGCACCCATGAGGCTGAGCCGGGAGGATCACTTGAGCCCAGGATTGGGCAACCAGATTGCCTCCAAGACTTGTTCATCTTCCTTTTAACTGTGATGCTGCTTTTTTCTAGAATACAGCAGAGGGAACATTGGGCTGGTGGTTAGATCAGATGTGTGATCCAAATAAGTAACTTAGCTATCTGAGTATGTTTCTCTTTTATAAACTGGGAAAGTGATAGTGATACATGGTTGGAATTATCCTCAGCATCAACACACTAGGCAGGAGCCAGCGCATGGTGATACACACGTAGTCCTAGCACCCATGAGGCTGAGCCGGGAGCAGTTGTCACGAGCCCAGGATTGGGCATGCCATAGATTGAACATGTGAAGCAAAAAAAAAAAAAAGTGAGGTGAATTTGATCAAAGTATATTATATGCATGTTGTACGTGTCACAATGAAACCCCTTTGTATAATATGCTAATTTTTAAAAGCTATTTTTTGGTGAAATGGGTATTGTTTAGTGCCCTCAATGTTTATCAAGAGTAATGGGTGCAGTGGGAAGACTGGTGAGGACAAGGAGCTGCTCTTAGTTGGAGGGGATAGGGCTGGATGGACATAACAAGAAACTAGTGAAAATGGAATAGGACAAGTCAGGAATATTTTGGGCTTGGGGGAGAGCATGTTTCCGGGACAGGCTGTGTGCTGGAATCAGTTACAGTATAGGCCTTCTACAATAATTGTGAGGCACACAATTTGCAGTTACAAACCTATAATGCTTTCAGAAACCATGCTGTGAAACATGCTTTCTGAAGAATCAGGGCATTTTCAGAATTTGTTGAGCCTTGACTGCATTGTGACTGTGGCCTGGAAATTTTAATCTGTTACTTTCCCTGGACAGCTTATTGTTTCTGATGTTGACTTAATCAGGATGTTTTTGATGAAAAGGTAGTAGTTTGGTAAATATATATTTTTCCTTTGCTACAAGCAAATGAAACTGGTGGCAAACACGAATAAAAGACCCACTGGGGATTTAATATCTAATACCATTTTAGTAGTTGCTATTATAAAGGATGTAAAGAAGAAAGTCTTCCTTTATCTAATTAATAGTCTGAAGAGTCAAACTGGCTTGTAAAGTGGGGTTAAGTGTTTAATGCTTCGGTATAGACGGAACATGGTAAGATTTGGCACTGAAAGAAAATTCATTCAGCAAACAGTATCACTTCATACTACACACTTTGCTTAGTCTAAGGGACAGAACCAAATCAAGTCCCTGAGAATAGGATTTGTTCCTATTCTCGGGGACCTTAAAAACTAGTTCAAGAGTCAGGAGGGAGCAGATACTGATATGGGGAGTATGTGGCATGAGTGTAAAGGATGGTGTGGTCCATTGTTCACAGAGAAGGGTGGCCTGTCACGAGAGGCTCATAGAGAGTTGTGATTCTCAACAGTGCTTCTGCAATACAGTGTGTATTTTAACCATTTGGGAGATTTTGTCAAAATGCAGGTTGTGATTCGGTAGAGCTGCACATGAGTAACAAAGATCTAGAAGAAAATCATTAGCTAACTTTGTATTCACTGGGTGGAAGCAGGACTGGATGGAAGGGTGCTATTTGAGTCATGGGAAGTGTATAAGAGGATAGAGCAGAATGACCTGTAGAAAGACAAATAAGGGTGTGTATATAGAGGGGTGGTGGTACAGTATAAGGAGATAGAAGTTGCTCTAAAATGTTAATTAGGATTAAAATATCATCATTCTGTGGATAATGTGGAATCCCAAATTTTAGCTTGGGTCATGACCTTCATTTTCATGCTCAGAAGGTCAATATACTAGAGGTGGAAGAGAAGGAAGGACCAGATTTTAGGAGTCCACGACAGTTGTCTAGCAAGATAAAAGGGAATAATATGTAGGAGTTGGATTGAGAGGAAGAACTCTTCGAGAATCAATGACATGTCTCCTAAAGTAGGCTAGCATATGGCTCCAGAAATCTCTCTGATATCAGAAAACTAAGTTGATTGAAACAGGGTACAAGAGTAGTATAATGTAGGGAAAGCCTTAACGTGGGTGGTTTCAGATGCCAGACCCAAAGAGCTTGAGCTTCTTTTTCTCTATTTAGGTGAAATTTTTATTATTGAAATCACTAGAGCAAGGTACTGAGCATAATATACTGGCAGCATTACTTAAGGTGCCATTATTAAGATGTAGCTATTTTCATCAAAGGTCATTTTTTCAATTCTTAATGTTTCTCAGTTATGTGGTGCTAACAGCATTGAGAGAATTGGAGCCAGATTAGATGGGGACTTTGGAGAAAAACATTTCAATGTGTGGAAGCTTGTTTAAAAAAAAAGATAAATGGAGCTGTGTACTTGGCATTAATAAACAGGAGGGTGTCTGTCCAAGTTGAACCACTCAATAATGAATTTTAAACGTGAGTTGCACTGGGATTCAGCAGGAGGGTAGGGCTTCAGGTGAGCATTTGAGATGCATTCATGTAAGGCATTGGGTAGAGAGTAAAGTAAATAGACTTTCCAAAATAGTTTGGAGAGAGTTGTGAACAAAGAATTGAACGTGGGAAGTGCTAGTTTAGACAGTAGGTGAGGGCATCAGAATAGTGTGGTGTCAAAGATCTCAGAAGAGAGGAATAGTACATATTTTGTATCACTGAAAACTCTTTTGTGTCACAACAAATTAGAAATTTGAGTGAAGACCATCTAAGTTTGGCAAAATTGTGATGAAAAGATGAGAAAAGAATACCAATAATAATAGCGCCACCTGGTGTTTGGCAGTATGCATTTTTCAAAATTCTCAGGTCGAATTTTTCTTTGTTTTCGTTACTTTTAAATATTCACAAATTTCTTCTTTATATGGTAGCCTCGTGTGTGCATGAAATAATTTGTTTAATTTTGAATTAACAGTATGCAGGGGCTCCTGCCAGTTTGTTTCTGCTTTGATTTCAACTTTGCCAAAAGCTTCTTTATCACGATTCTTCTGATCTGTCTGTCGCTTGAGAAATGTGTGAGTTAATTACTTCATGTTACAGGGTTACAGCCACACTTCTCATAGCCTACTTGCCTCATCTTTTCTGTTCTTCTCATTCTAAATTATTCATAATAAATAAGACTGTGTGAAGCTTTCATCTTTCATCAACTTCATGATTCTGAAAGTTCATTTTGCATTTCCACAGTGCAATTAGTGCAGAAGTTTGAGTTCACAAGCTTAAAGCACCAGCTTTCAAAGTGAATAGCAGTGGAAACTTGTTTTTGCTTTTTTTTTTTTAATCCCAAGGAAAACCTGCATCCTTGAAAACTGCACAGCCATCTTGGGTGAATTTGCCTAGAGCACTTCCTAAATCCAAAGCATCTTTGAAAAGTTCTACCCTGCGGAGAACAGGAAGCATCCCGTCTGTTGCCAGCACCCACAGTGATTTGAGCACCTACAGCAATAACTGTAAGTTGGTCTTATGTCAGACTTTCGAAATTGTTGAAGGAGTAGTTACGAGAAAGACCAGTGCTGTACAAATAACTAGTGGAAGTTTTATTTCTGATTTAGGAGAAATTTCGTATACTGCTTCTTTGGAATTGCTCAGAAAGATTAGAAGAAAAACAAATTCTTTAAAAAAAAAAATCTCTGGATGAATGTGCTGTGAAACACTGAAATAATTCTGTGTTCAGGGCACCTGTTGTATTTTTGCATGAAGGAATCTGAAGTGCTTTATTTGAATTGATGTTGTTTTTCAAGTTTAACAAAAGAATAACTACAGGCTCTTGGAACCCAACTGGAAATCAGAAAAAAGGATTACTACAGTTTCATTTACTTTGTAAAAGACTGTCTCTCATAGTTTTACAACAGTTAACCAGTGCAGTATGACTAATATAACTTCAAATTCAATTCAGAATAATTTAAGCTCAGAAGAATGTTTTTAGTTTTCAGTTACTGCATATTTTGTCTTGTGTGTATAAAGTTGGGCGAATGAATAAAGCTGCCCCTTTCACTCAAAAGATGTATTTGGACTGAGTTCTTCTTTTCTCATTTCCTTCTTAAACTTCCTCACAAAAATAATTCATGAATTAATTGGTTCAAACAATTTTGGAGTGCCTGCTATGCCCAGGCACCGTGATAGGTATAATGAGGAATAAAAGGTTTAAATGAAATGGTCCTTACTCTAAAACATACTTGACAAGAAAGAAGATATTTATATGAATGACTAGAATACCAGATAAATTAAGGCATAAGCACTGGGGATGAGTGGAGAACTGACCTCTTTTCTTTTGGGTGAGGAAATGTGGACGAAGCAGAATAATAGTTACTGAACCATATGTATCATAGAGCAATCATACATTATTTAGGTTTTTTTCTCAAGTAACTTCTGTTACCTTGGTATTATATATGGAGTAACTGGAGCTCAGAGACATTATTACTAACCTGAAGTCACACAGCAAATGTGTGATTGAATGAGGTATGGAGCATAAGGGAGTGACTTAATAATTAATGAGCACATTTCTCTTAAAGCAGTAGCTGGTCTCATGGACAAGTAAGTACAATATACCTGCATGTAGCACTTTAGGAATACTGGGATATGTTAAAATTAACCAGGGTTAATCAACTCCTTATTATTTGAGTTTTGAAGTTGTGACAAAACCCAGAAGGGTTTGCATGTAACAGATTTCTCTATGAACTTAAAAAGTAATTCACACGTGTTATTTTAAGGTTATTTCGATTCCAGCTTTCTCTGTTCTACGTTATGAATTTTGAAAAAAAACCAAAAACTATCAAAACAGAGTTACCAAAGTCATAGTGATGGAACTTGTGACACATGAAACAGACACATTCTGTAGCCAGACCAAGTGTTTTCCTTCTATGGACAGCCATGTTGACTTGGCCACTGTTTGAGTACCGTGTCTGACACTCCTAAGGAGGTTGTAAAAATGCTTTTGTCTGTTCCTTTTTGTCTGTTAACAAAGGGGTTTACCATACACCCACAGAGCCTGTCTAGTGGCTATGTGTCCCTGTTGCAGATTGAGCATTCAGATCAGTGAGTCTTTCTTAGTTTGATTTGCTAGCTGGTTTAATCTGTTTTGTGAAGTGCCTTGGAGCTTACACATTTTTCCCCCCTCCATTCTAATTCACTAACAGCAAGCATGAGGGCTAGGAGAGTGAACATGGCTGCAGTTGTTCCTGCTTGAGCTTGCTTTGATCCTTTTAAATGACTGTACCAGGAGGATTTCGCAGTTGTACAGAAACTGATATTTCTTCAAGAATCTTTATCAATTCTACACTCACCCCACCGGCTGGTTCAGAGAGGCACTATGATGCTACCTTATTGACACTGCTGGTCGTGGGATCCTACAGCCTTTGTATAATTCCTTTGTTAGCCACGTTTACTGGGAAAAGAAGTAGGTCGACGATTTCTGGTTTGATTCTTTTCTTTGTAAGCATGCTTAAATTTTTGTTCAATAAATTGATTTAGGACCTCGCAATTGTTAGTTTTGCAATGTGTGATTTATGTTAACTGTAGTATTTCTTTTTCATATTTATGCTTATTTCGGATGTGAATGCATCTGTTTGGAACCAATTTTTGTGTATTTTGTGTGTTTTGGGATTATTACTAAATATAAATCGGCATTGTCAATGTCCTTGGCATATAATATTATCCTATTATCCAGACGATTTGATGGTTTAATTTCTGGTTAAATAGTAGCTATTGTGTATCTAGCTTATAATTGTGTGAGTATAGAAGAATACCTTCCTAGAATTAAAATTGAAGCATCACATCTTTAATTATTTTCTTCAATTATGATTAATGTACAATTGCTATAAAAGTATGAAACAATTTTTTAAAGACTAGCTTAAAATATGAAAGAAGTCAATTTGAGCTGCAACATATCTGCTTCTGGTAATGAATGGTCATGCTAGGAAATTAATTATCTTTCGATCAGTGTTTTGATTCTGTTGACTTAAGCATTTGAGCCCTTTTTAAGTGTTCTCTTGCTTTGTCTGCTTGTTTCTTTGTGGTGTGATATTGTTGGTGGCATTATTTAAGAACTTCTGAGATAGCATAGTGCTGTTGTACCGGTTCTCAGTACTTTGGGATCCTATAGGAATAACATTACCTGGTTAAAGATGACTGAAGGAAGACATGTGAGACAATAAATTTTTCTCATTGGGGTTTTTTAGCAGGTTCTTTGTGTGTGCTTTTAAGCACAGAAAATTTTCATGTTACGATAATGATTTCCTTTGGATATTAGCATAGACATGGCATGGTGGTTTCTGTGCCAAACATGCTTGTTCATGGAGGTTGAACATTACAGGCTGTTTGATTTACCTGACATTCAGTTTTGTAGATCATTAAAGTAAGTGCACAAAGATAAGTGATATGCTGTAGGTCTTGAATAGAGCTGAAGGTTTACAGCCCATTATGCAATTTGGAAAGAGGTCTTGAAGGAATGTAATTTTGCCATGCTAGCAGGAATGGGAGGACCAGAGGCTTCCTTCCTTTTTTGCTTTTGCCTCAAAAGCATGTTTATTTTTGAGAGACAGATGGTGTGGAGTGGTAATGGGAGAGATGCAAACCTAAAGTATTTCCACTCTCTTGGAAATAGGAAACCAGAAGGAGACTAAAGAAATAGAGCATTCTTTTCTTTCACCTTTGAGACAGCTCTGGGTGAGTCCAGTGAGATGCAGAAGAAGGTACTCATCCTGGTTTTCTGCTAACTCATGTGGAGTTGGACAGTCATTCTTTTAGCCTCTGTCTGCTCATCTGATGAGAGGGGAGGACTGGATCATCTCTAAATTCCTTCAGCAACAAATGTCTCTGACCTCTTACTTTCTTCAATGCCGTATGATGTTTTATAGTTTGAAAGGAGGATGTTTTGAGTTCAAGTGATTTAAGCTGATAAAAAGGATGAGTCTTACCCTGAGTTTTTTTTCTTTTTTCTTTATTTCTTGTGATGGGAATGGTTAATGAGTATGGTCTCACCTGTCAACACTGGGTAGTTGATAAGAATCAGTAGAGTATTGACACTTTCTCAGGCTGCTTCTAGGTTCAGAGGAAAAGCTTTGTTTTTGACTAGTGATGTCTGCCATAGGTGAGGAAGAGATGAGAGATGAGCAATATATACTGCTGGCTCCATGTTACAAGATATGTTAGTTCTTACACACTTCTGAATAGGCTTTTTAATACCTAGTCCACTATTAGTTTTGTTCCCATTCTCTTTTTAATGTTTTCTGGGGTGTATTCAGACATTCTTATTACAAAGTATCTGATTTGGCACAATGGGGAGTGTCAAACTGATGCACAAGGAATTCAGGAAATGAACAGAGTATTGGCTCTGTTTATACTTACATAATTTAATAAATAAAACAAGCTCTGACTTCAAGTAGATGTTAGCATGTAATAGGAAATGCTAGCTTGCAAATGAAATTCAGAGCAATAAGCCATTTCCCAGTAGGAAAATTATTTTTGCTCAGACACTTATGAGAATATGTCTTTTTCTTAATTCTGTCCTCTGTCTCATTGTGTATTTTATTGGCGCATACTTTGGCCTGGTGAAATGAAAATATGGATTCCAGAGAATGTGTTGTTGTAGGATGAGACAGGACTAAACACCATACCAGGAGTGATTTTAAACTATTATTAGAGCCGAGAAGTAGGAGACTGCATGTAGAATTTCACATTTGGACTTCACAGACCAACTGTCGGGCTGTGGCCCCCTGGGTATGACTGAGCATACATCTGGCCTCAGAGTACCATACTCAGTGTAATAGCATATGCACCAATATCCAAACCCACTGACTGTATGTAGAGGTGAAGTGATTCAACACATCTGGGCTTTGGCCAAGTCAGGACTGGAACTTGGGTATCCTAGATACTATTTCATTGGTTGAAACTGTTGTGCTTCTCTTACTATGTTGGAATCATTGCCTCTGAAAAGCTTATTGTCTGGGTATAGTAGCTCTGGGTGAAGGAAAAAAATTAGGTATCAGAATATCAGATCAGCTGCCATGTTAAGAACTGAAGTAGAGGGCACGAGAAAGACTTTAAGGGCCTCATGCCTCATAAACATCCATAAAGTTAGGATTTGCTATGGAGCAATGGGCCAGCCTAGAATAGAGTCATAAAAGGATGTTCAGCTTAGCACTGTTTGTGCTCGCTGTTAGGAAGGTGGAGCACATGTACAGTAGAGAGTTACAGGATGTACATATGTCATGTATATGTGTATATTTTCATATCAATCTGTAAATATGTATGTAAATAGTATATGTTTCTCTGAGTCAAATACAGACATTTTATCCTTGAGATACGGATTTTTAACTCCTGTGTGTTCTGAAGTTGATGATGATGGATCTGGTGCTAGAGCCAGAGCTAGATCTAGATCATGGCTAGAGCTAGCCATGGCTAGTGGTGGCCATGAGACAACTTACTTATGGGACAAAACCCCTCTGTGTGCCAGAGCCAGCAGACAGAAGTATCAAGCTTTGTGAGAAATGAATCATTGCTTCACTGAGAAATCGTTTTACTAAATTCTTTGTAAACTAGAGACTTTTATGTCTAAATATTAGAAAAGCATGAATTTAGAATCATAATGTATATATATGTAAGTATATGTAAAAACAAAATAAAATTACAAAAAGAAATAGAACAATGAAAAAGAAAGTGAAATTAATTTTTCAAAATCTGAATAAATGATTTATTTGCAGCTGAGTGTAACAAAAATTTCTTCCAGAAAAGCAAGACTAAAATCCTGAGTATTATAAAACAAAGTTGAGAGTCTAATAACATCATTTTACTTCCTTTATTGGATCTGATTCTGCAAAAGCTGAAGTGCCCATTGAAACACAATATCCATTTTGTGTGAAAATCTAAAAAATATGCTCTGTGAAATTTCGGTTCTGTTATTTTAAGACTTTGAAGTTGTTCCTTATCCATCCTATAGAAAGTTATGTTAAATTTTATAGCACTAGGGTCTTTAATACTATCATTCCACTACCTTCTGGCCAATTTTGGAAAAAATAAAGTCTCTAGGTTCTTTGGGGGAGGGGTGGTAAGAATTGGAGGAAGGACAGGAAATTGACAGAAGCTTGTCAGCAGGAGGACAGTCTCTGTTGATTTGACCTAATATTTGAAGTGGTATCTGGCATAAGAAGACTTAACAGATGGCTCATTGTACAGGAATTGGCTGAGGATCAGGGGAAAATAATAGCATGTCTTTACAAAGTTCAAATGTGACAGCTACTAGCACTGTTGTAGGAGTTGGGATAGTTTAGCATAGTGAAATTTTCTAGTTGTTTTTACACTTATAATGTGTTTGTAAATGGGGGTAGGCACCTCATTAGGAATCAAAGTTGGCAATAAAGGAATTTATGATTGTGGTATTGAATAGCAGAATAGAAGTGGAATTAGGTGTTGAAGATTATTAAGAAACAAGCAACAATTAAGCCTGGGTTGGTGGAGGGGAAAATTTTACATGGAGTATAAAAGATAAAAGATGATGTCTTTGGTGGTACTGGGATTTGAGCTCAGGGCTTTGCACTTGTAAAGCTGATGCTCTACCACTTGTGCCACATCTTCAGCTTTTGGCTCTGTTTACCTTGGAGATAGGCTGGCTTGGACCATGGTCCTTCTGTTGTACACTTCCGCCGTCACCGGGACTACAGACATATACCACCATGCCCAGCTGCTGCTTCTATCCAGGTGGGGGGCGGGGTCTTGCAAACTCCCCCCCCCCTTGGGCTGGCCTACAACTGTGATCCTCTGGATCTCTGTTTCCTAGAGAGCTTGGGATGACAGGCGTGCACCACCAAACCCAACTATGTATTGAGATGGGGTTTCACAAACTATTTGCCCAGCTTGGCCTCATACTGTGATCCTGATCTCAGTCTCTCAAGTAGCTAGGCTTACAGGTGTGAGCCACATGGCACTTTGTTATTTTATTATTAGGTGAGAGTCCCTTTTTTTTTTTTTTCTTTCTCTTTGGGGCTGGACACCTTTGTAATAAGTCAGATGTTGGCATTTCATCTTGTTGCTGTAGAAGCTGGAGGTCAGGATTAGAGCTCATCCTTACAGCTACCAAGGAGTTTGTCTGTTATTGTTCTTGCAAATTAAAATAGTGGTCTGCCTGTACTCTGCCTGACCTCACGAGATGAGCACTTCTGTCTACGTGATGAACATGGTTGTTGCATAGTCAGGATGGCTTAGATAAGATGCGTAAACTTGGACCAGGCCAGGCAAACTAGAGTAGTCCTGCTGTTGACAGCATACAGTTTGTGTCCCTGAGGATGGGAGCTACCATTGTATTACATATCTTAACACTCAGTAATTGATTCAGGGCAGAAGGAATAAATGGGGAAGATTGATTCTGTATTTATTTATAAAATAAAATGTCCTTTTCTCTTTCATTACAGCTGGTAGTGCTCCTGTCATCAAGAATGAGGAGAAACCTCCCAAACCACCCTTTCAAAATGGCTCAGGATCCTTATATTTGAAGCCTTTGGTACCCAGAGCTCATGCACACTTGCTGAAATCTTCTCCAAAAGGTATGATCTCCTTGTTCACAGAATGAGGGCAAGCCTTTTAAAGTTCTTAGCAGGTGGAAAGTTAAAATTTGGCAATTATATTTCTAGTATATTTAGCAATTATTTATTTTTTAAAAGTCTGTTGACTAGGAGAGAGAATGCATTTTTAGACTGAGTTCTTGTTCTGAGAGTCACTGGGTTCTATGGATAAAACCTTTTAACATACAAATTGGCAGAACAAGAGTATCAGGTACAAGTGACAAAACTTCTAGTGTAAAATTATTATAAGACAATGCTCTAGATTGAAAGGAATAGCAATGGAAGATGTACTTCCCATCTGTGTCATTGTTTCACGTTTATTACTTTCATGTCTTTGATGCATGATCATGTTTTTTTTTCCTCTTTTTTCCCTCCTCTTTATGTTCAGTCTTCCTCTGTCACTCAGTTTGAAAGTGTTGTGGTTACTAGGAATAATTTTCATGTTTACAAAATGTGATATGTTCGTAACATGAGGTGTTTTTTATGTAATCTTATGGTGAGTCTGAAGCACATCGGAACTTTTCTGTGTTCATAGTGAATTGAAAGCTTGCTTAACTGAAAGAATAATTGTGAGAAATTTGAATTATAAAATGAGACCCATATTTATATTAGAGAATTTGGAAAACAGAAACATACAAAGTCGTCCTTATTTTTATCAACCACCAGTTATCATTGCATTTCCTTCTCATTTTTCCCTCTGCATCTAAACATGGTTTTGTTTTTGTTTCAACAAAACTGGGCATAGTTGTTCCAAATATATCTGTGTGTTTGTGAGGTGTGTGTGTGTGTGTGTGTGTGTGTGTGTGTGTGTAAATGATCACGTGGTAACTTAGGTTACTGACCTAGGGAATGTTATCACCACTTTTCTTTCTACTGGATTGAAGAGAAAATAGGCAAATACTGGAGAAAAGATTCTTCATTGTGCCAGTAGGTTCTCTTTTGTCCAGACTCCTATATACATTTCTGAGGCATCAAATGCCCTCCTGCTGGGGTGACATGAGTATGTGAAACTGTGGTTTTTGTTCAAGATGTTAAAGTCCACAAGCCACACAACAGTAGCAAAAAATGAACCCGTGGAACTTTGATCCTGAGGTAACTTTCAGAGAAGGAAAATTTAGACATTGCACTGGTAACTTTGTAGAACAGAGAACTCCAGTATTCCAAAATGCCTCACTATTGAACTTGTAAGTTTTATATTACAGAGCTTTTATTTTAAGTGGGAATCAATGCTTTCCATTTGTCATGGCCACATACTTTGAAGAGATTATCATCTCTATAAACTTTCACATAAAATACGGTGGCCCATTCTAACCAGCAATGTACACATGGTTATTTGATAAAAATGGCTTAGGGAATATCAAGTACAGGCACAGGCACTTTTCTTCTCCTGATTTATTGCTGTGTACCTACTCCATTCCTGGTTGCATTTTATATTTTTGTCAGTGTGGAGAAAAAGCTTAAGTATTTTTTTTCACAGTTTAAGTATGTTTTTCTTCACAGCTGAGAATAAATTGGCACTTGCATAAGCACGCACTAGAGGCTGTCTTTCATAAAGCCTAGCTTGTTCCTCTACCAGCAGGGGACTAGTACTACGTATTTAGTAAATGTGTGAATTCAGCACTTTAAAAAAGGAAGTTCAGAGGGCCGTGGGTGTGATTCAGTGGTAGATGCTTGTCTAACATGTGCTCGGTCCTATTTCAAGCACAGTATTAAAAAAAAGATGAAAAATAATGAACTTAAGTTATTCTTCTGGTGTGGTGTGCAGTGTTTTTATTTTGGCGGTGGTTCTGAGGTTTGAACTCAGGGCCTCCTGCTTGCTAGGCAGGTGCTCTACCAGTTGAGCCACTCCACCAGCCCTGAAATTCAGTTATTCTTGATTTAAAAAAACATACTGTGGCTTTTCCTAGTAAAACTGATAATTGTTTTTTGATGAATTTATATCGCTCTTAAACTATCATTTTGATATTTTGGATTTTACATTTAACGTATACTTGTTAAAAGTAGATTGCATGTTGGTGGTTTTTCTTATCTGGAACCCAAAATGTAGAGGTTAATGGGTTTCTTTTGAAAATAAAAAAAATCCAAACCATATTTACAAAATTTTGTAAAATGTATGCATACTTTACATATTTTTTTTATATTTTAGGTCCTTTAAGAAAAAGTCTGTTTACAGCCTTTAATGCAGGTGAGTGACCACTTTGAATGTGGATGGATTAAAAAAGAATCTTTTTTTAAAGTCGTGTTATTAAAAGTATTTTTCTGTAGTAATTTCTCACTTGTATGCTTACAAATAGAATTTCAGGTTTTGAGGTATAATGTGTGCCAGCATAGCATCAATATTTGAGGAACAAGATTGACAAGCCACCTGATGCATAAAAGCATATTTTATAAGTAGACTTTTAGTTTAAAAATGATTGTCTTAATATGGCTCATATGAAATAGAAACCACATCTTTTCCCAAGATTCATGCAATTTTAAATTGAATGATCTTTAATTGCTAAATAGCCTTAAGGTTTCATTTCAACACCTCCTCTCAGCTCAGCAACTTATACTTTTCTGCTGTGTTCTAACACTTCTCTTGGACATACCTCTCTCTATAACATCCTGCAGTTTCAGCCATTTGTACCACACTGAGAATCAAACACTTTGCCATAGATTTCACACAGTGTGCTCACTACTCCCATGCATCGTATGTAACTGATCAGGTCCCCCTTATACCACCTATATCTTTTATTTTATATGCACTAATAATACCATTAGTGATGCCTCTAAGTCCATTGCAGGTTAGAACAGGAAATCAAAGGAGAGAAATGTACTGTCATAGCACATTGAATGCAGGTTGTTCCTGCTCTGTGATAGTGTCAAATCAGGATGTGGTTTTTCACCATAAAGGAGCAAGTCCTTGCCCTTTGGGAGCTTACAGGATAGTCACAGAAATGCAACAAATAGTCATGAGTCCCAGTTGTAATTAGTTTTAGGAAGGTGGGAGGGCTACATGCTTTGGATTGAAGGATGTGATGTTGTGAGAGGAAACCTGGGCAGGAAACACATATATGTGAGTATGTTGTGTAAAGAAAGTAGGATGGATGACATATTGGGAAAAACTAGTCATCTTTGATGCCTACCAAATGTATTCGGTTTCCTCAGTTTAATAGGGAAGGGAAGTATGAAGGAATTGAATCAAAATTGTTAACCTGATCCATACAGAATGATTTAAACTTTAAAGCTTCCTAACAGGCTGAGTGTGAATCATGGCTACTAAAACTTTTGTAATTAAAAAAAAAAGCAAAAGGAACTGTTCTGTATACATTGAGGTAGTTACTTTGTTTACAATCTCTAGCACATCCTAATATTTAGGAGAAAAAAATAGCTTTATGTTAGGAAGTCAACTCATGATTATCAGAAAGCTGGATCAGAATTCTATGTGTAACAGAGAAACTTCTAGACTGTTTTCCAAAGAGACTGTTCATTTTATATTCCCTCCACCAATGTCTGACAGGTGTCCACATTCTTGCCAGTACTTGATTTTGTCTGTCTGTCTGATTGTAGCTGTCCTAGTGGGTTTGAAGTGCTACCTCATTGTGGTTTCAGTTTGCATTTCTTTGTGTGCTTATGATGTTGAACATCTTTTCACGTGCTCACTGGCCATTTGTATATCTTCTTTGGAGAAGTGTCTATTCAAATCCTTTGTCCCTCTTTTGAATTGGGTTGTATAATTATTGAATTGTAGTTCTTTATATATTCTGGATATGAGACCTTTACCAAAGATAAGTATTTTCTCTCATTTTGGAGGCTTTTTAATTTCTTGACAATGTCCTCTGAAGCATAAATGTTCTTAATTTTACAAGGTCAAATTAATCTATTCTTTTTCTTTTGTTGCTTCCCTCATTAAAAGTCGTGGAGATTTAATACCTGTTTTTCCTTAATATTTTTGTACTTTTAGCTCTTAAATATAAAGCTTTGATCAATTTTATATGTAATTTTTTGGTGCTGGGGATTGAAACCAAGGCCTCCAGCATATTAAGCATGTACTCTACCATGGAGCTACACACTGAGTCCCATTTTTAAAAGATTTTTTTGAGACACTCTTGCTATGTAGTCCAGGGTAGCCTGGAACTAACTCATTGTATAACCCAGGATGGCCTCAGGCTCTCGATCTTCCTGCCTCCCAGCCTCATTTTGAATTAATTTTTTTTCTATGGTATTTGGTAGGGGGCCCAACTTCATTCTTTTGCATGTAGACATCTACTTGTTGAAAGTGTTATTTTTTCCCCATTGAAATATCTTGGCACCTTTCTTTTAAATAATTGGACATAAAGGAGGGTTTATTTCTGGGCTTTATATTTCATGGATCTACATGTCTTTATATGCCAATACGACAGTGTCTTGAAAATAAGTTTGAAATTTGGATGTATGAATCATCTGACTTTGTTCTTTTTCAAGCTTGTTGTGACTTTTCTGGGTCCCTTGAATTTTCATGTAAATTTTAGGATCAGCTTGTCAACTTCTACAAGGAATCAGCTGGGATTTTGATAGGAATTGCATTGAATCTGTAGATAAATTTATAGATTATTGTCATCTGTGAATATAGGATGCTTCCTCTCTTAGATGTTCTTTAATTTCTTTCCATGGTATTTTGTACCTCTTAAAATAAAAGTTTTAAACATGTCTTTTGTTAAATACTGTTGTACTTTAGAAACTATTGTTGATTTGGGTCGTAGTAAAGTACCTAGTGAAATTTAATATGCTTATTTTAATTTATATTAAATATTAAACTTGGAAAGACAGTCTAATTCACCTCTCAAGTCTGTGGTCATGTGAAAGTATATTTCTCTTGAGAGGTATAGTAAATACTAATACTCAATATATATCTTATATCTCAGCTATAGAGAAAAATCTATTAAGAATCATTAGGAATTTTCCCTTGTTAGGGTTTTGGATTGGCATTCTACATTATTTTGGCAGCTCTCCACAAGTAAAGTTTATCATAATGGCGAAATAACTCCTGGTTAGGTGAGAAAGAAATAGGAAGTGAGTAAACATGTTGTAGGTTGAGAGTTCTGGGATACCAATCTCCAATTAGCTGCTAACCCTTTAACTCACACTCTAGTATTTACCTTTTAATCATGATGGATCACAGGTTAATGTAGATTGTGTGAGATGTCCATGTGCTTTCCTCAAATCGTTAGCAATACTGTGCCAGATTCTTCTACTTGATGGTTGCTTATACAACTTCAGACTGACTTGGGATTAGCATGAGTCCAATGTGAATAAGTCACTGTGCATTGGTCTTTGGAGGAACAACTTATGGTGTCCAAGGAACCAATAACTTTGGGTCACTAAGTCTCCTTCATAGTGGTTTTCTTTTTTGTGTGTGTAATTCAAAGGGTTGATCTCTAAAGTTTTTCCCCCACTATGATACTGTGTGATGCAGAGCACCTTGACTTTCTTTATATTCTGCCAATAGTCATGTTTAGATGATATAGTGACTCCACTGAGCACTAAATTTTAAATCATTGCACTATGGCTTTGAGGTTATTCTATTGATTTATTTTTTGGTGATATTTGATGGTATTTATAATAGGTGGTTCTGGGGCTTGAACTCAGGAACCCATGCTTACTAGGCAAGCAATCTATCTCTCGAGCCATGCCCATAGCCCTTATTTTACTTTTAAGAAGTGAAAAATGGTGAAAGTTATACTTGACCAACTTCATGTCTTGAAATTTTAGTAAAATAATCACTTTTACAGCAGGTGGTTAAATTCCAAAAAGTTTAAGAAGTACAAGTTTGTAGATCACCCTTTTGTTTATGTGTGATTTTTAAACAAAATTAAAATAATCAAATTCTTGTTTTGTAACTTACCCTAGTGATCACTTTTAATGATGTGGCCACCATTAGCATATGTAGTAATGTTTAACCACTTGAATATTTGGGATGCCTCTGAATCGCATTCTAAATGATTTTGAACATCTTTATAATTAGTGCTTCATAGTTTGGGGAAGTTTTTTGTGATAGATCCCTCCACCTCCTTTGATCTAGGCTTCATGCTTGCTAGGTAGATACTCTGCCCCTTGAGCCCTGCCTCCAGCCCTATTGTGATAGATTCTCAAAAGTAATATCAGTAAGTGAAATCATATGCCTATTATAGTCACTCCCCTCTAAAAACTTCCTATCAGTTTATGCCATGATTGACTACATAAAAGAGTTCTAGCTTCACCATATTCTGGTCAGCATTGGATATTATTTACAATTTTTAAGTGGGATAATATTTGAAAATGTTACATTACTGTTTAATGTTTAATCAATTATTTTAAAGAAATTTCATGATCTTCTAAGACAGTGAAGAAGAGTAAGAAGAGGACTTGTGAGGCATTGGGTGTTGGTGTAAATCTTGGTCCTGTCACTTTCTATTTGTTTCCTTACCTTGAGCTAGTTGCTAAGTCTCTCCAGGTCTCAAGTTTCTCATTTGGCCCTGTGTGAATTTTTAGGGAGTAACTCGCAGTATGGAAATATTTTTGACATCGTAGGATTTTTGTATTCAAGGTTCTCAAATGGTAGCTACTTCTGCTGCTAGTATTGTGAGGATAACAGTCTTTGCCATTGTTCTTATAGTTCTAGTGGCTTACTTTTAGTGTTGTTTTCTAGGAAGTTGAAGTTATTTAAAATCCTAAGACCAACTAAAGCCAAGCTCCTTCCTCATGGGGTCTAGCTATGATAATTTATTTAAAGATTATGATGCTACAAGATTTTAGGCAACATTGGTTCTAAATAAAACTTGGCTTACGGTTTACAAAGGAGATGTCACACATACCACAGCATACTATTATTACCTTGGATCTACCACACATGGATGCTGTTTGGAATGTCAGAGGCTTTGGAGTTGTGTATATCCAGCTCCTTGATTATTTTATACAAGGTCATCAGTCTCAGGTGCCATGGTGTCTGCCCTTGAAGTATAAATGCACCTCTCCTCCCATGTCCATATAGTAAAGATAGCACAGAGTAGTGTGGCTTTCTGCTTCTTCTTTTTCTGAGTGTTGGAAAATGGTTGAGGATTACAGACCTGCCCTGGTGAGGTGCTGCTGATGCTGCCAGGCTGTTCATTGGCTCTCTTTCATTGTTATAACTATCATAAATTTCCTCTTACACTTAAGAGACAGATGTTGTTTAGTTATGGAATGAAT